TATATGGAGAATAGAAAGACCTCCCAGAGAGCCAGAAAGAAGGGCTTCTAACCAAGGAGTCAGGGAACTATAATACCTACTCAGAAAAAGGAGCAAAAACCTTCTGGCCCAGGAGATACTTTAGTATTTTTCACTATAGCTAAGAAATGAAAACCATCTAGGTGTTCATCAATTGATAAATTGATAAATTGTTACACAAACACAATGTAATACTACTCTTCCATTAAAAAAAAAGAAATCCTGTAATTTCTGACATGAATAGAGCCTGAAGTCATTAAGAAGCCAAATTATATATATTTTTAAATAACTTACATAATTCTTCTCTCTTTTGTTTTTGAAAATACTTGTCTTCTTTGCCTAACTATGCCTGCATTCTGTCATGGAATGTATATTCCTAATTGAAATCCTCTGCTCATCCCTAAATAAAATGTTTTCTTTTGTGATAGTCACTTTCCCTGTTTATATTTACGTTGGTCTCTGTAATTTGGTTTGCTTGTACTGTTTCTGTGTAGATTTAGAATTAGGGTGACTTTGGATTCTTGAAATGCATTTGAAAATGTTTCTTCCATTGGTGGGAAGAGGCTAAGAAACATTCCATTAATCATTTTTTAAATGTTTAGTTGAATTCATTAGGAAAGCCTGGGTTTTTCTTCATGGAGAGATTTCTGATTACTCAATCTCCTTATGATAAGTCTGTTTCTTCCTGATTCAGACATGGTAGTTTATATTTCTAGGAATTTATCTACTTATTTTTTGTGAAGTCAAAATTTTATTTGGAGATGCTTACTACTTCTACTCCTACTACTAACTACCCCTACTACTAACAACAACTGGACTCGATTTAAAAGAAAGAGACATATACTAGAATGCTTGCTTACTATTTCTTTAGGCTATACAATTTTTTCACATGTAATTTATTACAGTCATCTCTTATGTTCTTTTACCTGTATGACATCTCTTATAAAGTCTCCTCTTTCATTTTTTATTTTATTTATTTGTGTTTCCTCTTTTTTTTCTTACTCTAGATACAATTTCCCTTCTGAATCCTTTCAATTGTTAATGTCTCAACAGCATCCAGAAAAATCAGAAAATTGGACTTGTCCAGTTCTTTTTCCTTCCTTTCTTCCCCAGAAAGAAGCTGGGAGTTGAAAGTTGCCCCTGACTATATGGTGCTGTACTGGGGTCGGGGAGGATTATGGCAAATGATATTTCTAGTCTTCCCCTGGCTTCAATGTGGCTGATTTTATGCTTCCCTAGATTCAATGCAGGAGCTTCTCAATCAGATTCTGGTTTTCCTACAAAGTGAGTTGGTCTGTGTTTTATTGTTGAATCAGTAGGTCTGTGGAGTAAGGGACAAGAAGTGTAGGCCTTCTTATTCTGCTTTCCAGATGAGATCCTACCAGACTATGATTTGAGAAGTAAAAGGCTTGTGCATGTCATTTTCTTCCTGAAAGCCTTATTGTGTACTCAGAGTCCATCCTACACAACAGCCCTTAAAATCATTATTCCAACATATGGCCTAAGTGCAGAGCCACTTGAGTTTCCAAGGTATTGTACTTCAATTAGGACTGTAGATGTTAATTATAATGAGCTCTGGCCCAAAAGGAGCCAGAATGTTGCTTAATTATTGTTACTGTTTGCCATGGAATTGTAGCCATTTTCACAGATCTCAGCACTGTGTTTGAGTACAAGGGCCAAAACTATTCTATAAACTCATTATGTGGAGTCTGTCTTCTTGGACCACAGCCAGCACCAAATTTGAATCAGTAAGGACTCAGTTTTAGGCAAAATGATTTAGGAGACAGGAAGAGATTAAAAGAAAGTTCTAAAGTATAGTCTATTTTTGAGGAAAAGTAGCCAAAGAAGGAATAACTAAGAAGCAGGGCTTCCTCCCAGGGTTGCAATACATGCCTTTTTGGGGAGAGTGGACCTGCAACCC